ACATGGTGAAGATGTATAGCTTGAGTCACACATACACATTTATGTTTGCCTGCTTGGGATTTAGCTCAGCTCAATGTAAGGGGAATGACTTCTTGGTACAAATCACAGAGAATGAGGCTTTCAGTTATTTGAGGCTTTGCAGAATCGTTCCTCACACTTATGTATCTACATGTGCCACAAATCTTTGCTTCACTCTTGGAATAACTGAATCAAATTTTAGGCTGCATAGATCCAAGTCTGGAGCACATAAGAAAAGAACACCAGCTTTATTCTGATCCTTGCCATAATTCTCCTTGCCATATTTTTAAAGGGCTGTTCCCATATGTTTATTCTTTTGAAATGATGGCAGTGACAACCTAAGAGACAGTGGAGGTTGCTCACAAGTCTGTGCTTTCAAGATCCCATGAAGATCTAGCTGGCACTTGAAACCTTCTAAATTCTAGTTTAGCTTTCAGGTTGCCAGTTGCGGACTGTCTAGCCACTATCATCAACAGGGACCCCCAAAGAAAGGGTAGAGACTATATACAATTTGTATTAGCTAAATGGTAGGCAGGCAGGCAGGCAGGCAGGCAGACAGACAGACAGACAGATAGATAGATGCAAATTTAGAAATCAATACTATAAGTAGGAAAAATGCATTGGTCTTTTCCAACCTGATGCTTTCTAAGTTTTGTATCATTTGACTTCAGCTTCCACAATTCTCAGTGCAGCTGTTGACCATGCTGACTGAAGATTCCAGGAGCTGTAGTCCCAAGACATTAGGAAAAGTCACTACTGGGGAAGACAGCTAGGCATTTCACTGTAGGAGGAAAGACTTATGCCAGAGGACCTACATAGGTTGGCCAATCTGTTGTCCAGTTTCTAACTATGGAAGAAGAACTTCAAAGCACCTCATCGTATTTCCTATGAGATGAGGGACCATCTTGGTTTTGTGGTGGTCAGCCCCTGAAATATTCTCTCTAAAATAGGACATATGATGATCTTATGTGAACCCTCTTCCAAATAGATTTGATTTTGGCACACTTGATGTATATCCCACTTCTGTGCATTACAAAAGAGAACAAAGAAGGAAGCAAGGAAGAAAAAGCCCAACTGTGAGCAGTATGTGTACTTAGGATATTTTTGCAAAAAGTATGTTCAATATTACCATGCTAGGGTCTGGAATGATTAAGATAATATTCAGATGACTAACCAAGCTTGTAAAATATTAACATTAAAAGTTCAGCCATTTCAAACACAGCACGGTGCTATGTACAATTGCCCTGCAACCCCCTGCTTTGGCATCATAAACTTGTAAGACCTTCACATGGCTTCCCATTGGCTTATAATCCCCCTTCCCCAACTGCCCATGCTAAGGAAGAATAAAATGCTGCAGAGAGGGTAGCTTGTTAATTCACCAACTTGGCACCATTTAAATAGCACAACTAAGTGCAAGGCAGTGGGATGCAAGCCAGAATTATATAGCCATTTAATAGAGGTTCTGGTGTCAAGCAGTGAGATCAGCATGATAGGATGGAGAGCATCTAAGGTTTTTAGTATTATTACTGCCTGTGATGATGAACAAGAGGGTTGTTTAACTCCATTGTGTTAGCAATGGATAAATGGCTGACCCTGCTTTGCCTTTGGATGACCTCCCAAGTATGGTTTTATGGCAGCAGTGAGGAAGTTGAGGCAGTGCTGAGGAGCTGAAGCCCAAGAGCCATATGCCTTGTGCCTAATTTCATGCCTGTGAAGAAACCTCTCCGCAAAGGATCAATTTAGAGTTGGAAAAGAGGAACAGTGGGAAGAATTCAAGCAGCCAAGGTTGAGAAACACTGGTATACACAGTGGTACAGAATTCCTTAGTAATATATTTACATATTGTAGAGCAGTGGTTACAAATTGCTATGTCAACAAAGGTAGATCTTGAAGTCCCACGGAATGTGTCCATATTTTTTAAATGTCTGCTTGCAAACATGATTGCACTTGCTTACAGATTCTGTATTATAGCTTTGTTCATTCTGATAAATGATATTGATTTGTCTTCTGCCTCTGCAATCAAAGGTGGGACCAGTGTGTGTCTGTGTGTGTGTGTAGGAATTAAGGACTGGATGCCAATCAATCTTGAAGTACAATAAATATTGTATAATACAAATTTACATCCTCTCTTTCATGTTTTCTCATTTTTTTTAAGTTGTATTTTCTGATAAATTCATGCGATGGAAGCTTTGCCTATTTTTTATGTGCATCATATGCGCAACACACATAAAATATAGATGGAGCTTTGATCCCACCATCGCAGCTACCGTCTTGAATTGTTTTTACCATACTCTGTGGACACCTCTGTACACAAAGGAAACCAGAAATATCACAATAAATTGGTAATCAGAACAATGTCCAAACCAAAAAAATAATCATAACAAGCAAGGATAAGCCCCCAAATTCATCCCTGATGTCAGGCCCAGCCCAAGAACAACGATGAAACAGTCCAGTCGAGTACAGTTCCTTTATTTGCATACACCTTATAGACAGAATCTTGCCAAACTAAGTCTATACTACAACAACAAGTGGATATACCCTGGGAGATTCTAGGGAGTGGCTATCCTGAACCTCTTACTCTTCCCTCGCTCCCCCTGTGGACTGTGTTGTCTCTTGTCTCCTTTCCCCTGCTGGAACGCTGCCCCTCCTTCCTGATAGCCTCCCACATCACCCTCCTCCTTGTAGATACATCCCATCACACCTGGTGACAGAGATGCCTCCTGTACAGAACAGCCACTTACTTTAAATTCTGTGCTTCTCATAATAGGGAGCCGAGAGGAAAATCCGGGATGAAGAGAGAAAGCAAAACAGAAAGAAAGTGAAAGGCCAGATTTCTCAAGCTACTTGCCCTAATGGTGAGGATACAAACCTCTTTCTCTGGTCTGTACAGTGCGCAGTGCAGTACTCATAATGTCTTCCCAGTCAGTAACTTTTTCTTCCATTTTCCATGAGCAGCAGAAGGGAAGTTGACTGCAGTCCCTCTCCAAAAGAAGAGTGATATCACCTACTTTAAAACTATGGCTGACCTGGATTCCCAGCCTGTTCTTTTCATACCAGATGTTCATTTTGGGAATCTCCAAAGAGCTGGGCAGGTAAGAAATGAGGCAATGTGAAGGTCAGTCCTTTCCTTGCAAGGCTTTTGGCCCATCCTCTAGGAAGTCCCTAGAAATAAATGGGCATGATCCAGCCTGTGTAAAGCAGTTTTGGGAGTCCACTGATGTACAGAAGAAGCTGCCTTCTTCTAGAACAGATTATTTGACCAACCGAGCCAGTAGAGTATACCAGGAGTGGTAGTAGCAATCACAAATCTGCAACACCTTATTAGTATCGTTTGTTACATCTTTTTGCCAAAGACTGAGCAGAGAACTTTCTGCATGCCACTCACATCCTCTGTCACTGAGGTGTCGACCACAGCTGAAATTGAATATAACTCAACAGAGCTAATTTTTTTCAACATTTCTGCGTTTTTTTCTCTTCAGGAATAAAAGAATTAGATTAATATTCAAATAATGCCTGGTGAGACTCCCAGTTAAAAACTGTTTGTAGTTTTTGTGTAGGTTTCCTAACCAATTCTTACATATAAATATTTTTCATGAATATGCTTCCCTTCAGCTTAGATCTTTGTCTGATTTTATGATAGAAAGTATGGTACACATAAAACTTAATAGTGTTTTTAAGGACTTCATGGAGAAAAATGCACACACCCCATCTTTCTACTTACAGAGAACTCAAAGAAGGAGATCTAAGAACATTGTCCAAGGAGGACACACTGCATGCAGAACGTAGTGAGAAAATTTATCCCTCCCAATAATCAAAACTTATGAATCAGCTTTATAAATTAACCACAAAGGTGGCTAACCCCAAAAAGGTCCTGGGAACTTGCTGGGAAGGGACAGGAACTCCAGCCCACCCCCAGGACCAACATACTTTTCTAAGCACAGTGTGAGAAGGAAAGTTCTCTACTGCCAGGTGCCTTGTCTCATAGTTATGTACTCTGTTTCTTCTCCATCAGTCTGTTTCCTTGCTTGCAGGCAATTCCCCTGGAGCTGTATGACAGTATCAGGAGTGTCCACAGGGTATGGTCCAAAAAGTCAAGATGGCAACAGCCCCATCTGTTGTTTTTTGTTTTTTTGTTTTTTTATGTGTGACACACATAATGGGCAGGTGGAACTTCAGTTGCACTATTTCAGCCACCATCTTGACTTTTTGGACCTTACCTTAGTGTTTAAATACTGTAAAAATCTGTTGTAAGCCTATTGGTCAAGTGCAGATGTCACACAGCATGGTTCCTGTGCTTATATATTACCCATTTTTCCTAACGCATGTATTTTTCTCCTTCCGTAAGGAATCCACTACCACAATACAGAATAAAACAATTAAACAATTACATCAACAAAAGATAAGAGAAATGGATCATTAGAGGAGATTAAAACAACTTTAGGCAGTGGCATGAATTCTCAGGAATTTGAGAAGCCCTAAAACCAGATTGTCTAAACTGTTAGTCAAAATCTATAAATTAATAGGTTAGAAGGAATTTGGAAGACTCCATATATATTACTTTCTTCTCTCTCCTTTCTTATTCCTACTGTGCAAATCCCAGGTTATCACATCTGTGCAAATTCTAAAGTAAAAATCCAGATGATTGATACATGGTAGCAATTAGAGTTTTCTATATCTTTGCTGCCATCTAATAGTTATTCAATTTTTGCAGCCCAACCCAGGTAGTCTTAAAATCGAGTTTGCTAACCTTCTTCTAGTTGCTCTTTCCAAGCTGAGGTTAATAAAATTATGGTTAGTAAAAAGACTGATACCGATGTAATGCTGTGTTATGGTGGGTTGTCAGTAGTGCCCAGACTACACAAAATTTTATTAACAACTGTGCGTCGCAAGAGAGAATATTTGACATTTTGTACAGTATTTATATGGAACTTGAAGCGTGCTCAGAAAATTCAGTTTAAGGCAGTGATATATCTAGCATATTTGACACCCACAGCAGATCATTTTTTAACACACATCCCTCCTCCATCACTGCTGTGTTATGCTGCCAGGCACCAGACCACGGATCAGCACACCAGCAGCACCCACCCAACTCTGCACCTGCCACTGACCCTCCATATAGTCACATCTTTCTCACCCCCAAGTTGCCAATGAAGCCCCTTATTGCCGCCCCCCACCTTTGGTACACCACTGGTTTAATGCCTCTCAGAAGAAAACAGAAGTTGTTTTTAAAGCCTTTTCTATGTCTCTAAGAATGTTGATATCTTTTAGTAAGAGGAGAATACAAGATTAATTAAGATTAAGATTAAAAACAAGTGTTGAGCTATCAAAATCTGGCTGGGTTGCTCAGTGTAACCAAACATAAAACAGCAAGGGCAAGAGTTAAATATTTCTTTTAATATGCTATTATTTAATAAGTGTTAGCATTTTAGACAGTGTGATACTGTCAGCTAAAAAGTATTTTCCAAGATTGAAGAAGTAAAGCCTAGATTTTAATGTCAACCAGTTCCTCTGATCATGTGTCTCTTTGTATAAAGGAATTCAAGGGGAAAGTGTATTTACATTGCAAACTCTTCTCAACAGAATTAGCAGAAATTACCGGTGTGTTTTAGATATTTTAATCTAAGAAAATGTGTATATAAGATGAAGTTTAGACTATGATTAATTGTTACAACTTAAATGACAATATGCTTTGTTGGCACATGCCTTGATAGGTCTATCTTGGGGGACAAGGCATAGCTTTGCATAGAATATATGTTTTATACCAGAAATGTACAACTGCAGCCTTTGGGCCCAGCACCTCATGTGCTTCCCCTGAAAATTTATTTGTGGTTCCCAAAGACAAGACTGTCATATGGAATGTGACAAGAGGGGAATATTCAGACCTATCTAACTGTAATATATGAATTATATGTAATTATAATTACATTTAATAGCCAATTCAATCAAATCAGTTTTGGTTTTTGACCTGACCCCATCCACTATTTTTAAGTGCATCCCTTGTTCTCTTGCACATCCTTCAAAGGCCAAATGTGACCCCTGTCCCAGAAAAAGTTGTGCCTTCCTCCTCATACTGAAACATCAAATTTGATCCCTGGCATCAAATCTCCAGTTATGGCTGGAATGTATTCTTCCTTAAGCAACTGTTTTCAGCTTAATGCACAGCCACATTTCCTCCACGGAGTTAAAGAGTGTGTGACTCGTCCAGGATGAAGGAGAGACAGAGAGAGAAAGACAGAGACAGAGACAGACAGAGAAGAATTTCATCCTATCCACTTTTCCATAGCAGTTTACACCTTTGGCAAGCAAAGCAGTCATGTTTACCTGATTTTGTTTAATTTAAAAAAACAACAGAGAACAAAAGAAATCTAAAGAATGAACAGACGTGATCTGTCAGGGACTTTTTCTGCGCAAATCCTCTAGAAATGAATGGGGCATGCCAAAACTGAATGTAACAAGCAGCTGATTTATGTGTAGAAGAGCAAAATCATGGCTTTGCCTCTTCCCTGACTTCCTTTCCCTGGAGACACCATAACTATAAATCTGTTTGTTGTTCTCTTTTACAGGTTTATTATAACACTGATGATGAACGAGAAGGGTAAGGCATTTACTACCTTACGTACCTACTGACATATTTTGTGACCAAGAATCCAACCCCTTGATAAAAAAATATAAAATGACATTAACATGGAAGTTCTAGTGCAAATTAAAGATTTTTTTTCCAGCAGTGACATTTCTTTTGTAGCAACTTTTATTGCTTCTGATAGAAGTGATCTGATATTTATCATACAGAATCTGCATCTTCTGAGATATAGTTTTGTCTAGATACGCTTTAAAAGATGTACCATTGAAGGCAAATGCTATAGCTTAGAAGACTTAATTTTTTTGAACAACGTGTTATGCACATTAAGAAAATGCAGTTCAGCTTGCCAATTTTGGAATATTTTGTTTAATTAATTGTTAGTAAATCACTCTGGAGATCAGTGGCTGTTGGAGTTAGTTCTACTTACCTTCTCCTGGTCTGCATGTTTTCCTTTCCTTGGCAATTAGAGTCGAAACTGCTACATGTCTATGAGTAACATTGAAACAGATCCCCTCAATTAAACAATGTGATCTGTCAGGACCTAGGAAGTGTGCCTCCTCTGTCACAGAGCCTGTCCTCTGTAACAGGATACCCCCAGAAATCCATATGGTTCCCACATAATGTCCTGAAAGTTTCTGAAAACCTGGCTGTTCTCCCAGGTCTTGGGGTAGGTGGTTGCCAAGCCCCTGTAGGTCATTTTTTATTGTTATGTATAATCTTCTTTCCTGGACATTCATGATTTTTTTCTTAATTTTTACTGTTTCTTGCTTTTAAAGCATAAGCTGCCCAGAGCTATTTGGACCTAGAAGGCCTCTACAGTATATAAAATAAATAAATGGAAGCTTAGATCCTCAGAGTTCCAGTTTTGGTAATAAAGCACAAAACTGGTTTATAGTCTTAACTTTTTTTGTGCCTAGTATCTTACAGAACTACTCAAGCTGTTAGCTTTGATAATACATTGGTATTATCCCCATGGAATTAACAATACCTTGTTCTTAAAACAGTCCTACCAAAAGTACTAGCATTCTCTTAAAAATTATGATTCCACCATTTCACTGTAAAGGCTGATCTTGATTTTTTTCTGTAAGTGATTAATTAATTCATTTATGTTTATTGCATTTTAATTTGGTCTGGGTTGAATTATAACATATAATGTTTGATGGAAATAATTAGCTGGAATTTGGAGAGACAGCCATTGGATGTGTGTCAGAACTATAGTTACCTTCTGGGTGTTCTAAACAGTGAAGAAATATTCCACTGAAGTTGTCTTGCCTGATGGCTTTTCTCAAGGAGGAAAGAGAGTTAAAGTGGTAGCCTAGATTGTGGAACAGGTCCATACTATGTACTACAGCTTTCACCTGGGCATCTAGCTATATATATTCTTCAACAAAGGGGATTTAAATCCCATCAAATTAAGATACATCAGGTTCAGTTAGTGCAAGGATGCTGATTTCTTTATTTAAAAAATTATGTTTCGTAGAGACTCCCTTGGATGGATGTTCCATCTTTAGGTAATCTTCCTTGTTCAGGGGGCTGAAGAGGATGATTGTACTTTGGTTAATTTACAAACCTGTTTCTTTCTGTTTTTCAACTCAGTGGTAGTATCCTGGCTAAACGGATATTCCGTGCAGTTGAGGAAGATTTTGTTCCACCACCACTGAAACAAATAAAAGAAGAAGGAACAAAAAGAGGTACCTATTTGTTCTCAGCCACTTTGTCTTATATTCCTTGCAGCAACTGATGATCAACTAAAATTACATACATAGCACTAAAGCCAGCTTTTCCAACTCAATACCTCCCAGATGTAGTGAGTAGCAGTTCCCAGAAGATGCGAATTACAGCCTAATACATTTGGGAGGGTATCAGGGTAGAGGAAGTTTGGTTAGAGAATTGGACATAGTCGAGAAAGAGCCAGGGTCAAATCCCCACTCAGTCACTGGCCCTATCTGCCTCTCAGCAAACACACCATTTGAAGGAAGGCTGGAGTATTTAGCAGACAATGTACATTTAATAGGCACAATATAGATTCTGCAAATGTCTACAATTAATAAGTTTCTATACTGATATATATAAAAGCAGACACATTCCTTACTTTTAGAACTGAATGCCACTCAACAATGACTTTGTTTACATGGGAAAGCAATTTCTCCACTGTAGTTTAACAGCAGTTCATGCTAAGCTGTTTACTTCAGTTTCTAGATGAGCTACACCAGCGTGTATCACAAAATCACATAAATGCATGTTATAAGTAAATTACAGGTAATCCTCACTTATCAATGGTAATGGGGACCCAGAACTCTGTCGCTAAGTGACACAGTCATATGGCACAATGTCACGTGACCATGCCAACTTACAACGGCAGTTCCAGCAATCCCAGCTGCTGTCGTTAGGAGAATCCCGTGTGGTCGCAGCATCCTGCGATCATGTGATAGCCATTTGCAACCCTCCGGCTTCCCTATTGTCTTTGCTTGTTGGAAGTCCACAGTGAAAGTTACAAATGGTCTTCATGTGACCGCAGGATGTTGCAATTTCATAATTGTGAGCTGGTCACTGAGCATCCAAATCATGATCATGTGACTGCAGGGAGGCTGTGACAGCCGCAACTACAAGGACCTGTTGTAAGTGCCCCTCGTTCAGCACCATTGTAATTTCGAATGGTTGCTGAATGAGTGAATGTTAAGCGAGCACTACCTGTATTTGCTAGTGATACTGTTGAAGCCTCACATTGGAAATAGTGAAGGGATTATTGGACTGTGTATGAAAAAACATTTTGGTGATTTACCTTGCTTCATCATAACGATACTTGTTTTGCCCTTGTACCACAAGGACCACAAAAAGAAAATCCATTCTATCAAATTTGAGTATTTGCTTTACAAGCTAATGGAACTTTCAGTTATTTATTGGTAAATTTGATATCAATGATGGCAGTCACCCAATTCTATAAGAAACTTCAGGGTAACTACTTAGAACGGACTTAAAAGTTCTGAAAGTTTTAAGGAATGCAACTATTCATAACACAGTTTCTTGGAAGGGAAAAAAAAGTACACACTATTTCCAAATCAGCTAATATGCCTCCTGCCCCATGTCATCCTTATTATGTGTGATAGTTTTATTTTTAATACAAGTGTCTGGCTTTTTTCAATTGTCATTTGGTGGAAAGAAATTGCCGTCCAAGGGAAGTGATTCATTTGTGGGACTGTTCTACATCTTCTCCAAAGCTTGGTTCTTGATTTTTTCAGTTCTCCTGTATGTGAGGAAAGAAGCAGATGAAGTGTTTGATGCTTTGATGTTAAAGTCTCCCACGGTAAAAGGGCTTATGGATGCGGTAAGTATTTGTCCCCTCATCTCACATCTTATTGTAGAAAGGTGAACAAAGAAACATACTTCATTTTAGTTTTCTGGGGTATGTGCAAGAAAAAATAATATGTTATATCTGCACAAACTTGAAAAAGATCCAAGATCCATATTTACTCAATACCAACCAAAATGCCACAAAAAAATGATGTTAATGAGCAAAATGTTAACACACGAGAAAAGAACTGTTTGTCGCAATTATCCTTGGTTGCTAATGATATCCCTTTCCAAGAAGCTGTTCCAGTTCCAAGAGGAAGTTGAAGTAGTTCATGCACTTTTTGGTTAGAACATGACCTCTTTCTTTCTGTCTCTGAGCCTTAAAAAAATCAGCAATCGCAATGATTCTCTGGAGAGTGTATAAGAGCTTCTCCGCTGACCCCTAAAAATATCAGCCTGACCACTGAGAAAATAAGGAATCTGTTACGCCTTAAATTGGACCTGCAACTTTTAGTATTTATTATTTCTAATCTCTATTCTCAAAAACAATTTGTTTTATAACTATTTTAAAGTTCAACTCTATTTTTCTTGGTTTTCAAGTCGATGAATCAAGCCTGCAGTAATTTTCCCAGCTCCCTCCTTTTTAAAAATTTTGCATAACCCTTTGTTGCATTCCCTATCTTGGGCACAATAGACTTTAGTTAATCAAAAGGTTGAAAGAGTGAAAGAAAATGTTGGTGGATGGTGACGAATAAACTTCTTGATTGCACAAGACTAGAATGGGTGATAAAAAACCATGAAATTGTTGAGCTGAGAAAAACTGTAGATTTGATTGATTGATTGATTGCCATTATTTGTATGCTGCCTACTCAGACAACTCTTATATGGCTTACCACAGTACCTTAAAAACATCCATACAATCTATTTTAAATATTAAATATTAAAATCTTTTAAAATATGCTGCTGTTTTCCATTAAAACTCACTCCCCAAAAGCCCCAAGAAAGGTTTTTACTGGTTTCTAAAGGATAAAATGTTGGGGAACAGTCTAACCCAAAAGGGTAAGCTGTTCCAAAGTGAATGGGCTGCCAATGAGAAGGCCACTTTTCCCCTCCCGCCCCCCCCCCCCAATCTCTCTAGGACTGGATAGCCACAGAATCATCTCCTGGCCAAATCATGTTGGGCGGGCAGATTCCCCTACAGTTGACAGTCCTGGGGGTAGCAAGGGCCTGTGCCAAAAAAGGACTTTATAGGCAACAACCAGCATTGGGCCTGAAAGTCTATCAGCAACCAGTGAAGCTCTCCCAAAGTAGGTGTTATTCTGCTGAACTGGCCAGCGCTGGTCTGCAGGCAAGCAGCTATATTCTGAGTCATCTTCAAATTGCAAGTTTGTCTGAGAGATGACAAAAGTATCTCTGCTTTTAACACCTCCTGGACCAGGAACTGACCCAGCTGGTGGACCCTCCGAAACCTGGGCAAAGGTTCTCCTGGAGAAGCCATAAATCTGGGAGAATCCCTAGATCCAGAGGATTATGCACCAGGTCTTTCTGGGGTGTTCAGTCCCAACAGGAGCAAAAGATGGAAATTTCATGGAACTAAATGGCTTCTGTGCCTACTGTAACTCCATCTGGCTGGGACTCAACCGTCGGCTGTCTTTCCTGACGTTATCTATTTGTATAATTATTAGGTTGTTTTTTTAGGGACAAGTTTGTTTCCTGTGGCTTTTAAATGAAAATGTTTATTATTTTAATAATAATTAAACGATTATTATAATATATTGTATTTATAGATCATGTATTTATTATACATTATTTTATGTTCCTTCTGGTGGGTAATTAAATGTTAGGATTTAGGATTTTTACAGTTGTGTTAATGTACTGATCTTTAAAGCTCATTTTGATTTTAAGAGTTGAAATTGATAATGGATGTTTTCTATTAGAGGCTGCCTTGTGAAGACTATTGTCAGGAATTATATTGTATATTTCAAATAAATATATACACCATGGGCATTGGAATTCTTCCTAACAAGGGTGTCTGCAGGCAGGGTCAAAAAAATCACAATGGTAGCCGTGACTATTTTTATGTGGGTCACAGTGCATGTAAAAAAGTGGATGGAGCTTTGATCATATAGTTGCAGCTGTCATCTTCACTTTGTTGACCCCACCTGCAGACACCTGTTTCCCAGCCTGCATCTGAAATTGCATCAGATGTGGGTTCATGTTCAAATAGATCTTTGAAACCTTGAGGGCTGAGTAGAAATGTGTGTGTGTGCACTTAATAAGCCAGACTAATTAAAACAGAATTTTGCACTCATACAGTTCCATAGTTGTATAATCCAGTCATTGAATACAGAGGGATATGACACTGGAAAGCTGATCAGTTTGGATTAAGTACAGTACTGGAACAATACCGATATTCCTATATATATATATTTGTGCAATTGAAAAAATGAGGATTTGTTTTAAAATATCTGGGATCCAGATAATGTATCCCAGATATTTTGTTGTTTTAAAATTTGTCTGGGATCCAGATAATGTTTTTGTTGGTATGAAGCTGCTTACCTTGTCAATAAAGATAAATTATCTATTTTGGAGAAAAGATGTATCCATACCTGAACTGGGTAAGACGACATTATCCAGAATGCATAGCTAATTCTAATCCACTTTTATTAGGAACCTTGTGATAAAATCATGTTAGTGCTTTTATGAAGCACTTCTAATATGGGGCAATTGCCAAGACATAGCATAACAGTTGCCTTGCTCTCATTGGAGATTTTAATTGAGATTAAGAGGGGTGAATTCAGAATTCCCAAATTATGGGGTCCTGTATGTTTATGCATACCATTGCCTTGTATCGTAAAAGGCAGTGGGAACAAGAAAATAACTCTCATTCATTGATGCCTCTTGCTGAATAGGTTTCCTTGCCAAAAAGGGCGGAGTTTAGAATACAGAAGTGTTTTAGCATGTGAGCTGTTGAGATTTATATTTTATGACAATGTAATTACAAATGTACAGTGGTACCTTGGGTTATGAACGCCTCTGCTTACGAACTTTTTGGGTTGCGACCAGCTCCGGCCGCAAAAATTTACCTCGGTTTGTG